TGGTGTTATTAGGGTTTTGTTCATGTTACCATGGACAGATGAAGCTGCCATATGATCTAGTCTCTCCCTGAAAGGTAAAAAGGGAGGGCCAGATCATGCTGGCAGCTTCAACTATCAGTGGTGCATGATATATAAAGACTATAGAAACTGCTGCTGCAGATATGATGTGTTGCAACTGCCTTGTATATGAATCGGCTGAAACCTGAAACCCTTTTCTCTTCTTTGTTTCGTCTAATTTCAAGACTTCTTTGATAAGAGGGGGGAATGAGAGGAGGATATAAATAGGAAGCAATTGTCTTGATGATTTTGGTCTCTACTTTTTGCTAGGCATAGTGTTTTTTTTTTTTTGCTACTTCCAAACTAAATGGAGTGGTGTGGGGAAATATCGTTAGAGAGAGTAAGAAACCGGTGAATGAAGGCATTGAAATATGAAAAGTGGAGAGAGGCTAAGGACTAGGGGGGAAAAGATGCAAAAGTGGTCCCAAAGGAGAGAAGCAAATTGAATATTGGTTCACGCCAGGCCACCACATGCAGACAGGTTAGTGAGAGTTACTAAAATTTTCCTAAGAGGCTCTTATAACTTTAGTTGGATGACCCTTTCATCCTCTCTTTCTCTTTCTTTTTCTTTTTTGTTCTTTTCCTCTGTGTTTCTGTTTGTGTAAGGTAAGCATCAACCATGAAAGATGAAACAAAAAGAGTATAAAACACAAGGAGGTGTAATGGGGGACCAGCTTTGCATGGCTTCATAGATGTTTGCATAAGTTTCGCTCCATAAAGCAAAAGGAAAGGAAGACACAGCAGGGAAAGAAAGAAAGAAAGACCATCTCAACCCATCAAAATCTTTATCTCTTTCAATACTGTGGTTTTATGAGCTAGCTAGTGCATTTACCGCAAATTATAAATACTAGGATTTGAAATTAAACTTGTTAAATGTTATCAGTTAACTGTATAAATTGATTGAGTAAAATTTTTAGTTGACTTTAGTTTGTTGATTAAGAACAGTAATTTAAAAATTAAAGAAAAGAAAAGAAAAAGAAATCCATTAACCAAAATTGAGCAATCAGCAACCTTTAATGCAAGCATGTGATGATAATTAGGTTTATAAGATGAAAAGCAAACCCAATTGTCAACTAAGTTTAACAAACGCAGCTTGGAGACGTCTTTTTAATTTTGAAAACAATGGCAGGGTAATTTTCCAAATTTTCAAGTCTATGCAACGCGTGCTTTTGAGTGATTGGTGGCAGTTATCCATGAAAAGCAATTAAAAAAAGACATTACCAAGGATTAGGTAACATTTGGAAGGTTAGTCTGTAAAGTGATGCAACCGACTAAATGGCTTTTAGGAAAATTAGCTTGTACTTTGGTGAAAGTTGCTCTGATTTGATTGGACTACTTTCTGCTTGTTTTTTAACTACTTTATTATGTTGATTAGGTTGTGTAAGCAGATTCTATGGCAGGGGAATCATCACCCCAACTGAACCCATTAACTGGGTTTTAAAGCTTGTTTCATTATTGGATTACGTACAATTAATCAAAACCTATACACAGCCCCTGGGGCCATAGATATTTGGTGATGATGCATGACGAGGTGATTGATTATAATTTGTAGATTTTAAAAAATATAAACAAAAATGTAATACCATTTGGACTTATATTCATTTTTTTGTTTGTCTATAATTTAGTTTTTAATATTTCTTTCTATCCTACTAATTTTCTTGTTAATTTATTTTGCTTTACCATAGGTCAATGGAAATGCATATTACAATGCTTGAATTTGAAGATTTTTCTCATAAATTTACCAATGTTTGTGCTTCGTAATTTATAATATTTAATCTTTAATACGAATTTATAATGTAGATTCATAAATTTAAATTGTGTTATTATAATTTTTATTTATAATATTAAAAATTATTATTTATTTTATAAGTTTTTTTAAAAATATTTTAGTATCGAGTATACCGGCCCGATTCTAAATGATGGTTAAAGCTTCAGAGCTCAGGCTATCTATTAGTAAATTTAACTTCTACAACTCAAGTGTTGTATGGAACCCCACAAGCAAATTCCATAAAATTGTGAATCAGGGAAAAGAACATTACACAACATGCAAACAAAATTCTATTCCACAAAGATCACCATGTAAAGATGAACATTACTTCTCTCTAACCTACTGTTCCACAGACATTTCTTGGGGCCAATAATTTGTTATTAGTTTCTCAATGATAATCTTCAATGCAGGAGCACTCACCCCACATTTCTGATCAGTGAAGCACGATTTGCCTTCTTCAGCTGCCTTGCAGAGCTGTGGATCTAATGGAACCTTTCCGAGGAATGGTACCCCCATCTCCTTACACATTTTTGCTGCACCACCACCACTGCTATCGAAGACTTCACTGGCAGCAATGAGATCTAGCATTTCTGGTGCTTTCTCCCTCATATACTCTACAACCTTCTCTGTGACATCTGTGTGTTCACCTGACTCAGTCATCTTCAAAAACCTGAAATCCATCAATGGCTGACACAAGCCACTCATGTTCTCAACAACCCCAAGAACTGGTACTCCAACCTTTTTGCAGAAATTAACTTCTTTTCGCACATCAATCAAAGAGACTTGCTGCGGGGTAGTGACTATGATTGCTCCATCTATTCCGGTAGCCTGAAGAAATTGGACAATTGAGATGTGCTCATCAGAGGTCCCAGGTGGGGCATCAACAACCAGAAAATTGAGTTCTCCCCAATATACATCCTTAAGGAATTGCTTGATGAGCCCATTTTTACGCGGTCCTCTCCAAATGACAGCTTCATCAGGGTTGGGGAGCATGAACCCAATCGACATGACCCCAAGGTTGGATTCAACGTAGACAGGAGACCAACCAAGGTTGCTCTGGTGAATGTCTTGACCTTCTAGACCAAGCATCTTTGGAATGCTTGGGCCACATATATCAATGTCAAGGAGACCAACCTGGAAGTCCTTAGCAGCTAGTGCAAATGAAAGCTGGGCAGAAAAAGTGCTTTTGCCAACTCCTCCCTTCCCCGATAAAACAAGTATCTTATGCTTAATAGTAGCCATTCTTTCTGCAATTGCAACCAAGTCTGCAGAATGTAACGCATTAAACATTATATCAGATAACTGATTCATGAGACAGATAAATGTAGTAAACCATAAGGCTTTTAGCTTATCATGGATGCATCATCACAAAGGGAAAACCAGTTAAAGTTAAGTAAATTATATTCAAGCTTCTTGATGTAGATCATTATGGAAATTGAAAGATCAAAGATGAAGAATGGCAACAAAAGAGTCATAGGAAGGAGGTCTAAGAATAATTTCAAAACTTTCCTACAATGAAAATGCTAGTAAAATACAATCACAAATTAGCATCCTCTCCCCCCATTTCATCTAGGTTCAACAAGGGGAGACAACTTATGCTGAAAAGAATGGTCAAAACACTCAAAAATAAAAACCTTGAAAATAGAAAGATCATTGATCTTTACTTTATGTCCTAATTTTTGCAAATAGAGATGCAAATACTAGGGGCAAGTTTTATAAAACATCACAACTTTGTTACATTCGTTACCAGACATGGCACAGTCATGCCAATCACCAATTTCCTTAGCTAGACTAGCAAAGAATTCTTATGTTTATGACTAATATACAAGCACATGAGATCATTGAGTGCTCGTTTCATCATCCAATCAAGCACTATGATACCAAGAAACAAAAAATTTAAGCTCAAATCGCACGTCATGATTGATCATTCTTAACCACACATAATGTTGATCCAACAAAGAATTAACCCACACTTGACAAAGTATATATCAGAAGTCTCCAACCTTTCTCTTCTCATTCCAAATATGCAAACAACAGAGCTGTAATTAAACATGCTAACAAATTCCTCAAATATACACATAAAAGACTCCGAAAATCGATTCTATAACATCAATTTTGGTAATAGTTCTAGCTCATGTATACTTCAAAATAGCTTCATGTTCATGTACCATCACCAAGCTGTTAAAGTTTTCACTAGAAATTCAAACCAACTTAAAGTAATAGTCATAAAAATAAAAAAAAAAACTAAACAAAACAAAGCTTATATTCTAGCGTCACCCTGAAAAATGAAAAATCGATTACATAAGTTTTTTGTAAAAATTTGGTAAAAGAGGGAAAGAGCAAACCAGGGTCAGGGCCCTTAGGCGCAGTGGCACAAACTTCTTGATTAGGGCAACCTTGGCAGGCGTCGGATTTACCCGCTGACTCTGAATTAGGACCCGGGCAATCTGAATAGAAAATTGAGGAAAATTCATTAAGAAAAGCAGAAAAACACTTAATCAAGAAAATAAAGAAGACCCAACAAAAGCTAAAAAGAAAAAGCATACGTTCATTGGCGTTTTCTGGGATTTCCCCGTTCTCCATGGCTGCTGTTTTTGTTTGAGATAAATGAAAGAGAAAGCTTTCATAAAGCCAACTACTGTTAACTTTATAGTTATACTAATATGATTTTATAAGTTTGATTAAGTAATTTTCCTCGGATTAATGATTAATCAGAACTAATTATTAATGTGAAAAATATATTTCATTTTCTAAATGATCATAGCTTGCAATTATGGAAGTAAAATACTTTGATATGGCCTCTGTTTTCTTCGATTTAGTTTTTTGATGGGTTCTATTGTTATTTCTGGGCCCTTGGTCATATCATTAGAAAGGGCTGTTTGGGCCCCCAATATATGAGCTATTGTTTTATCAGTTATTCAACACGGCTAAGGTCCTAATGGTGACAAGCTTAAATGCAGACCAGACAGCCCATGTCCTTTGATGTTAACAGTTCTTGGAACATAATTTTAATATTTTCGTAAAAATAATAGCAATAAAGAAAATAAGAATGACATATGGGGTGACATATCTGTTGGCTGTCGTCTAGTTAACAGCCAACTCTGATCAAAATTCCGGACATCAAAGTTTCTAATATATATATATATATATATATATATAAGCCATATCAGTTCTTTTGTTTGTCTCCTATAGCTGTCAGTTACTCTCTTTTCAACTGTACACTAAGAGAAACATTGATTCAATAACAAAAGAAACCCAAAAGGAGGAACAAAAGAGAAACCATGGCTGAGGAGCAGCAGAGTGTTCAGATTCCTAGAGTGAAACTGGGAACTCAAGGACTTGAGGTAAGATTTTGTTCTTCTGTGAGAGTAGTCAACGGTGGGGTGTTATTTTGTAAGTTACATATAGCAATGTTTTAGGAGCTGATATGTTTTCAATTCTGATAACATTTACAAATTTTGCTCAGCTTTTGGTTACATTGTTCATAGAAAGAATATGATTAAGATGCTGTTCACTTAAAAACGTGCTTCAACTCAACATTTTTAACTCAAAACAGTATCTTCCTGTCTCATTTCTATTGTAAACCCCATTATTCTGCAGGTCTCCAAGTTGGGATTTGGCTGTATGGGGCTTACTGGAATGTACAATGATCCTGTCCCTGATGATGTTGGCATATCGATTATCAAGCATACATTCGACAGAGGAATTACTTTCTTCGATACATCAAATATCTATGGACCCGAAATTAATGAAATATTGGTTGGAAAGGTAGTAGAGTTCTACCATGTAGGCTTTTGAGTTGAATTGCCACAATTTCCTATTTTTTGCTTCCTGATATCACGTTGATATGATTTCATGACTATTTTCTTTATTTTTCTTGGCTTGTAAAAACAATTCATCAATCTGTAAAAACCAATCTCTTTTCAGGCATTGAAGCAACTACCGCGAGAGAAGGTACAGTTAGCCACAAAATTTGGTATTATAATGGATCCTAAAGCTGGTGTTGTAATAAATGGTACCCCTGAACATGTCCGCGCCTCTGTCGAGGCTAGCCTGAAACGTCTTGATGTGGAATACATTGATCTCTACTATCAGCACAGGATTGACACTAAAACACCGATAGAGGATACGGTAAGTGCTGCAGTAGAATAGAAAGCATCCTATATTTTCCTTATTTTAAATGCTCATTGTGGTATATGATGTTTAGCACTTTAGCAGCTTGAACCTAAAACTAAACATATTTTGTGTTTATGCTATCTATCTTAGATGGGAGAACTGAAGAAGTTGGTGGAAGAGGGGAAAATAAAATACATAGGTTTATCTGAAGCTAGCCCTGAAACTATAAGGAGGGCACATGCTGTTCATCCCATCACTGCTTTACAAATGGAGTGGTCGCTCTGGACTCGTGACATTGAGGAGGAAATAGTCCCCCTTTGCAGGTTTCCTCAAAACCCCAGTGATTTTGGTGAAAAATAGTATATTGAATCATTAAAAGTATAGGTTATCTGGAATTTGAACTTTGTTTTTGATGTTGTATTCTACTTCTTGTTGTAGTGAAGGTGAACTATCTATGTTACCTGTTGTTTCAGAAATTGTGCCTTTTATTTCTTGAAACCAAGAAATGAGAAATGCCTAATTAAATTAATGTGTTCCTATATGCAGGGAACTTGGGATTGGCATAGTTCCATATAGCCCTCTTGCTCGAGGTTTCTTTGGTGGCAGAGCAGTTGTGGATAGTCTGCCTGCAAATAGTTTTCTGGTATGGAAACTCATTTATTTATGGCTTTAACCTATACTCAGTTTTGCATAGAAACAAGCCTTCTCATTGACTGATTGTCAACTTCTTCTTTAAGACACATCACCCAAGGTTTCAAGGAGAAAACTTGGACAGAAACAAGAATTTATATTTTCAAATGGAGAAGATGGCTCAAAAGCATGGGTGTACCCCTGCACAACTAGCACTTGCCTGGGTTCTTCATCAAGGGGATGATGTAGTCCCTATTCCTGGTGAGTCACAGTCTCATTTATTACATCCATTTTGTTCTGCTTGATAGCAGGCAATAAAGATACTTGAACGACATCACAGCAGAATTAACGTAATTTGCCTGAAAAATATTGTACAAATTTACCTTGTTTGTTCAGATGTTTGATGTTGCATTAGAAATATGAATTTTAACCCTCTCTTTAACCTTTTTTTTGTAGGAACAACCAAGATTAAAAATCTGGATAGCAACATTGATTCTGTGGGAGTGAAGCTCACAGAAGAAGATTTAAAAGAGATTACTGATGTGATTCCCATAAACCAGGTAGCTGGGTCTAGACAACCGGAAGTATATACTAAGTTGACATGGAAATTCGCTAATACACCCCCAAAGCAGAACAAAATTTAAAGTTAAAGTCTGCAGCAAACTAAGTCAGCAGCAATGTCAAAAATATATAAATGAATAAGCAGGCTACCAGCTCTGCACTTTGCAGTTGTATGCATGTACTTGAGTGGTTTTTCTATCTTTGAAGTTGTTAAGAGCACTGTTATGCTATTTATAAATAAGGCTTACAAATTTGGAGAAAAAGACAAAAGAAAGGATTTATAGAACTGAGGATAATTGACAGCAAGTTTCACGGTGGCTCTCTACTTTGTAAACATCCATGAAGTATAGGAAAAAGGCATTTTAACTGGAACTTCTTTGGCAAAGCATTGCCTTATCAGTCAATAATTTGAAAATTGAAGTGGCTTAATTGATGGAACTGTAATGTGACAGCCTGAAAGGGACTGGACAAGGCCATTTCTTGGCAATCGAAACAATGGGATTTTAATGTTTACACAGGTCTGGCTGGGAATATAATTGCAAATGGGGTGACATACCTAGCGGCGTCATGGAGGTGTCATTCAACTCTAGTCAAGATTCGGGCTATAAAAGGTTGCTGATAAGTATAACCATAAAGATCACTTGCACTCGTATGTCTCCTGCAGCTTTCAGTTAGCGTACTCTGAGTGAAGCATTGATTCAACAACAAACGAGAAAACATGGCTGAAGAGCAGCAGACAGTTGAGATTCCTGGAATTCCTGGAATGAAACTAACAACTCAAGGATTTGAGGTAAAATTTTATTCTTTTGAGAGTAGTCAAAAGGGAGGTTTCATAGCAATATTTATGAGCTGATATGCTTTCAATTCTGATAACTTTTGCTGTTGTTCCTCAATTTTTTTTATTGCATTTTTCTTATAAAAATTGTTAACTTAATCAAAATTTATATCATTTTCGTGCCCAGAAACGGATTTACATACATAATTGTGGGGCAGCTGCCCCACTGAAGTATAAAAAAATTTTAGATTTATTATAGTAAAATCTCATAAATTTTGAAATTTTAAGCCTTACCCTCACTAAAAATTTGTTTATCATATTTGTCCCCTTTGAATTGAAGATCAGAAAAAAAATTTTATTATTTATCTGGTAAACATTTATACTTTGAATGATAAACAATTTTATTATAATATATGCATTAATTTTGAAGAAAAACAAATAAACAACCTTTAGAATTTATATAGATATCATATAAAGTGTGAATTAATAGGAATAAACAATAAAAAATAATCTTTAGCTAAAATAGATTTATATCTTTATTCTTGTTTTTATTGTATATAAAAAAATATTATTTTAATTGTATATGAGAAAATAAACGTTGTTATTCTTCACATTATAATGAGTAAGAAACAAAAGTAAATAATAAAACTAAAAGTATTGATTTTTATTTTTTCACATATTATGTGTATATTTAAGAATTTTATAAATAAAATTTTATTAAATAAATATATATACATATTTATATGTGAATGCATTTACATGTGTGTATGTCAAAAAATAATTTATCTATGATATATTAGTGTTTAGGCTACATTCATCAATAATCATATAATTAATTTTAGCTATGTAAATATTGTATCTATGGCATAAACAATTATATTTTATAGAAAAGTTATTAACCTGTTAATTTAGAATTTTTTATATTAATTTGTTTTTCAATAAAAATTTTAATAAAATCCTGGATCTGTCGCTGTTCAAAACAGCATCTTTCTTATTATTTCTGTCCCAAACTCTATCATTTTGTAGGTTTCCAATTTGGGGTTTGACTGAATGGGATTTACAGGAATGTACAATGATCCTGTCTCTAAAATGTTGACTTATTAATTATCAAACTCGCAATCTATAAAAAAAAAATCACTTTCTTTGATATATCAGACTTCTATGAACCCAAAACTAATGAAATATTAGTTGGATAGGTAACATGGTTGCCCATAAAGTTCTGTTATAGACCTCCTGGATGAATTCCAAGTTTCAACAGTTTCTTAGTTTTGCTTTTAAATAAGTTTAAGCAAATAACTTTTTCGTTTGACACATTGATAGGATTTCTTATTTTAATTGGCGAGTAAAGCAATTTATGATTTAGAATACGAACGTTTTTCAGGCATTGAAGCAGTTACCACAACAAAAAGTACAATTAACCACAAAATTTGGTATTACAAAAATGGATTCTACTGCTTTAGTAATAGATAGAATATGTTTGTGCCTCTGTCGAGGCTAGCTTGAAACACCTTGATATGGAATACATTGATCGTTACTATCAGCACGGGGTCGACATTACAATACCAATAGAGCATACGATAAATGTTGTAGAAATCATCCTGTATTTTCCTTGGTTTAAATGATTATTGTGGTATTATGATGTTTAGCTGCTTGAACTTAAAATTAAAATATTTGTATTTATTCTTTCAATCTTGGATGGGAGAACTCAAGAAATTGGTGGAAGAAGGGAAAATAAAGTACATTGGTTTATCTTAAGCTAAACCTGAAACTATAAGGGGGGCACATGCTGTTCATCCCATCGCTGCTGCACAAATGGAGTGGTCGCTATGGATTCTTGATATTGAGGAGGAAATAATCTCCCTTTGCAGGTTTCCATAAAACCCCACTATGATCTTGGTGAAAAATATAGTATATTGATTCATTAAAAGTAAAGATTACCTGAAATTTGAACTTTGTTTTTGATAATACATTTTATTTCTTACTATAATGAAGGTGAAGTTTCCTTTGTTACCTCATACCTGTTGTTTCAGCAACTATGCTTTTTACTTCTTAAGACCAAAACATGCTTAATTCTTCGTCAAAGGGGATGATGTAGCACCTATTCCTGGTCAGTCGCGTTCTGTATTTTCACCATCCATTTTATTCTCTTCGATAGCAGGCAATACAGATATGTCAAGAACATCACACAAGAATTCACATAATTTGCCTGAAAATATTATACAAATACGTATCCTAAATTTGCCATGTTTATCCTTTCACAATTTGTAGAAACAACCAAGATAAAAAATCTCGATAGCGACATCGATTCTTTAAGACTGAAGCTCACTGAAGAAGATTTAAAAGAGATCACTGATGTGATTCCCATAAACTAGGTAGCCGAGCCTAGATCACCAGATGTATTTTCCAAGTTCTCATGGAAATTCGCTAATACACCCCCAAGGGAGAACAAGATGGATGCAAAGTCCGCAGCGGAATAAGATGCTTGTGGTCCATCAACTCTCCAGGAACTGAAGTATTAAAACAGGGGGTCATTGAAAGCAGAAGCCGGCATTACCAAAAATAAATGAAATAAGTAGGCTGGCTACTGGCTTTACTGTTCAATGCATGTAATGTAATTGTATGGTTTTTCTGTGTGTGCTTACTTGCCAGCAATTGCAGTGGTTACAGTTGTTGAGAGCACTGGTTAAGATGCTAATTTAAGAAAGTTGCTTTACTTAAATGCTATTGGTTCTTCTTGATCTCTTCTTTTCTCCCTTTACAACTTGCTGCAACCATATGTTACAACACATGGCTTCTAATGGAATAGAAGTTGTGGCAAACAAAAAAAAAACCAATGATAAATATTTCACATATTATAAATTATAATATAATCTAATCTAATATCGACTGTAAACCTATGAAAGTTTGTAATAGCATCGGAAACAAATAGCTTACTATTTTTTTTACAATGATATTCATGTTACGCAAATTGTGATTCAAATCCCTATTAAAAAATGATTGTTTTAAAAAGTTATGCAGTCATATATTTACAGTTTTAAAATAAAAAAATATTATTAAATATTAAAAAATTAAAAAAATAAAAAAAGAAGTAGAAGCAAGTAAGTAATTGTAATATAATTTAGAAAGGTCGTATATTAAAAATAATAAAATAAAAAATTTCTAAAAAACAAAAATTTTTTTGAAGGAAAAAATTTGAGAAGTGCTTAATGATATTTAAATTAAATTCCATACAAGAATAAAATTTATCTAAAGAACAAATTTTTAAAAATTGTAAAAAAAAAAGGAAAAAAATTGGTAAAATGGATCATATAAAAAATTGAATTTAAAAATCTATTTATAAAATTTTTAAAAGGAATTGAAAAAAAGTAAAAAAATAAAAATGGAAAAAATAAAAAAACATAAACAAAAAACATAAAAATAAAAAAATAAGGAGATGATGCCACATGACACAATGTGGTGAGTGCGAGGAATGCCCTACATTTGTAACTTTAAATGTATAGATGCTGCATTTAATGTTATAATTGATTCTTCTTGATCTCTTCTTTTCTCTCTTTACAATTTGCTGCAAACTATACATTAGAAGCCATGGCATCTAATGGAAGAAAAATTATGGCAAAAAAAAAAAAGATTACATAATGTACCAATGATAAAGTTACCAATACCATCACAAACAGACAGCTTACTATTTTTTTCCAATTATATACACAAATTGTGGTTCAAAACCTCAAACCCCTATTAAAAAAAATTTGTTGTTTTAAAACCTCATGCAGTTATACCAATGTATATGCATATTTCTCGGTGAATTATGTTATTAAAAAAATTTTGACTTCCATGATCTGAGGCAAAAAGTAGGAAATATAGCACCCATTTCTTGGCAATGTAGGATTATGTCTATCTGATAACATGACTATTTTGTCTTTTTGACTAATTCTTTGCATTTTGATATTCAGCCGTTCTTGAAGCCTAATTTTCAATGTTTTCTGCAAATTATTCAAAAAGAATTACCTATTGGGTGACATATTCAGAATGGGTGACATGTTTAATGGCGTCACAAAGTTGATACGTCTAACTAATCAAGGTCAAGATTCTAGATATAACGCTGCTAATAATATATTCTTGCACTTAGCTGTCTGCTAAATCTTGTAGTTACTGTTTTTTGAGCTATATAATAAGAAGACAAGCCTCGGTTGAATAACAAAAGAACAAAAAAAGGAACAGAGGAAAAGATGGCTGAGGCACACCAGAGAATTCAGGTTCCTAGAGTGAAACTGGGAACTCAAGGACTTGAGGTTAGATTTTGTTTTTCTTAGAGTAGTCAAGAGAAAGGTTGTTAAAGAGTTGCATATAGCAATGTTTATGAGGTGATAAGCCCTCAGTTTTATAATTTTTACTACTGTTCCTCAGTGTTTGGGTTGAACTGCTGATATACAGATGATTAAGATGCTGGATTTCCTTGTTTAAGTCTATTCAGATTCTATTCTCTTAAAACATGCATAGGGTCAACTTCTTTAACTCACTCTAATCAAATCCACACTACATTCGTTTCGAGGACAGAATCCACGTATCTCATTTCTGTTGTAAAATCCATTATTTTTGTAGGTTTCAAAGTTGGGGTTTGGCTGTATGGGACTTTCTGGATCCTTCAATGATCCTGTCCCTGATGATGTTGGCATATCGCTCATCAAGCATGCATTCAATAGAGGAATCACTTTCTTCGATACAGCAGATAGCTATGGACCCAAAACTAATGAAATATTGCTTGGAAAGGTAACATGCTTGGACAAAATGCGTAGACGTTCAAGTTGAATTGCAACAAAGGATTCCAATTCCTAAATAGATGGCATTTTTTTTTCTCACATTGATATGATTTTATTTTTTCATGTTTTCATTATTGTTCTTGGCTTGTTAAAGGAATTCAATCATCTGTGAAACCAATATTTTTTTTCAGGCATTGAAGCAGCTACCGCGAGAGAAGGTACAGGTGGCCACAAAATTCGGTATTGCAAAAATGGATTCTACTGGTGTCATAATCAATGGCACTCCTGAATTTATCCGCGCCTCTGTTGAGGGTAGCCTGAAGCGCCTTGATGTGGAATACATTGATCTCTACTATCAGCAAAGAGTTGACACAACCACTCCAATAGAGGATACTGTAAGTGCTGCAGTAGAAACCATCTTAAAACTATTTCATACTCTCATTGTGGAGCTATGATCTTTAGCTGGTTGAACTTAAAGCTAAGCTATTTACATTTAACTTTCTTTCATAGATGTCTGAACTCAAGAAGTTGCTAGAAGAGGGAAAAATAAAGTACATTGGTTTATCTGAACCTAGCCCTGAAACTATAAAGAGAGCACATGCGGTTCATCCCATTACTGCTTTACAGATGGAGTGGTCACTTTGGACTCGTGACATTGAGGAAGAAATAGTCCCCCTTTGCAGGTTTCTTCTTGTATCTTGAATCATTATAACTTAAAAAAAAAAGTAAAGGGTACTTGAAATTCAAACTCTAATCTTGAGTCTTTTTCATGACCTAAGTTAAAATGTTGTTTGAGTACTCTTGAGACTCAATAGACTCAAGCTATCAACAATAATTACTCCTTAAACTGCTGCAAGCCAAATAATGAGATATGCCTATTTAAATGTGTTCAACCATGCAGGGAACTTGGAATTGGGATTGTTCCATATAGCCCTCTTGGTCGTGGTTTCTTTGGCGGCAAAGCAGTTTTGGAGGGTTTGCCTGAAAAGAGTGTTCTGGTATGGAAACTCTTCTATTTATGGCTTTAAGCAATCCTTAATCTTGTACATTAACAAGCCTTCTAAGTTATAATGGATAGCTTGGTTGACTGATCGCCAACATCTATTTTTAAGGCAATGCTCCCAAGGTTTCAAGGAGAAAACTTGAACAAAAACAAGATCTTATATTTGCAAACAGAGAAGTTGGCTCAAAAGCATGGATGTACTCCTGCACAACTTGCACTTGCCTGGGTTCTTCATCAAGGAGATGATGTAGCACCTATTCCTGGTGAGTCACCTCCAGCAGTATTCAGATATTTCAGCTAAAAGTCACACCAGAAGTAGCATAATTGGCCTGAAAATCTTTTACCAAGTACCAATGCATAGACTGAATTTTGCCTTAATAGGACCATAAGTCTTGACCCTTTCTTTCACTTTTTTCAGGAACAACAAAGATAAAAAATCTTGATAGCAACATTGATTCACTGAAAGTAAAGCTAACAAAAGAAGATTTGAAAGAAATTTGTGATTTGATTCCAATAAATGAGGTAGCGGGCGCTACTTATCCGGAGAGATTACAGCAATTCAATTGGAAGTTTGGTAATACACCACCAAAGGAGAGCAAGACTTTAACATAAAATAACTATATATGGATGCAAAGTCTGCAGAAAAATATGATGGTTTTGGTGAACAGACACTCCAGCTATTGAAAGACTAGAAGTTTGTATTGATGAGTTACCAAGTTTCGGATACATGAATGAAGGGTTCAGTGAGAGCAGAAGCCTGCATTATTACCAAAATAAAAATGATGCATTTACTTGTATGGTTTTTCTTTCTATGATTTGTAGCCAGTAATATCCCAATGGTTACAGTTGATAATGGGTATTTTGTTTATTAGCGGTTTATCAGATGTAAACTGTTGTTTCTGCTACTAGCAGCAGTTTTCTTCGTGCTTTGCTTGGATTAATAAAAATCTTACTTATCCAAAAAAAAAAGAATTATGACAAATGTTTTTTTTGACAGATACATGTTTTTATTTATTTATTTTTCTTGGCACAGAGAAGTATATGTTTACTTCTTTGTGTACGTTTTTATTGCTCCAATAATTCTCCAATACAATATATTCACATTTCGAAGGTGAATTTGTGATTAAACTTAGATTAAAAAAAAAAGGGACAACTTAAAAAACTAGAAGTATATTTAATAAGAAGAGACGAATCATATTACTATGTCATCCCACCGGGCAAAGCACTAGTGGTCTAGTGGTAGAATAGTACCCTGCCACGGTACAGACCCGGGTTCGATTCCCGGCTGGTGCATTCATGCTTTTTCAGTTTGATACTTTCTTACTTTTATATTTTGTTAAAATGCCAAGTGGCATGTTCCCGTAAAATATTGATATGGTTTTCCTTTATTCCTTCTATTTCAAGTTTCAACCTTTGGTTGGAACCACTTACCTCACCTAACTCAACACATTGATACTCACCTACTTCTCAGTTCCAACACATTCATAACCTAGAAAACAGTTTGCGATAACAGGAAGGGAACGAGAAAAGAAGTTGGAGCTTAGATTTTCAGACATGGCACAACAAGAAAACTTATTACAAATTCCAAGAGTGAAACTGGGCAGCCGGGGACTTGAGGTAAGATTCTGACGTTCTCTTTTTGTTTTCTTTTAATTCCTTGAGCACCCATTTCTGTTTTTGCCTAAAAAACTATACTATGCTCAAATATGTGGGTGGAAATTTGAACATTGTTATTCTAATGTTTATGAAAATTTAAACTTTTCTACATAGTTGGTAAGTAAACTGTGAAGTGAGAATGATTTTTCAGTGTTAAGGTTTTCAGGTAATTCAGTGTACAATTTAGTTGAGATTAAGGTGAGATTTGAGAAATGACAGATTTTGATCAAGTGGGTAATCATGTCTCCATAATTATTTGAAGTGTGTTAGCTTTATCCAAAGGTGACTTATTAAATTTCCCAAAGTTAGTATATGGGCAATAACAATGTGTAAGCTTTTTCTTCTGATATTCATAGAGCTATGGAGTATGGACTAGAATTAAAACATTGGCTGCAACTGCTGACTAGTGAATATATCAAGGAATCAAGGCAATGTAATTTTTCTGTCATTTGGAAAGAGTAGGAACTGTCAGGAAAGAAAACTCAAGTTATTAGTTTTACACAAGCAGGACTGTTTATCAGTGTTCTTCTGTTCCTGAATTTTACTATTCTCTATCTTTGTTTGTCCAACAGGTTTCAAAGTTGGGTTTTGGATGCATGGGTCTAACAGGAATCTACAACTCTCCACTCCCTGAGGAGGAATGCATCTCAATCATAAAAGATGCCTTTGCTAAGGGAATCACTTTCTTTGATACGGCTGATGTATATGGAGCTCATACCAATGAAGTTTTGGTCGGGAAGGTGAGCATCTCTGTTTGTGAGTTAGAAGCTAGATTTTTAGAATTGCTGCATTTGGAATATTTTGTTTCTAATTGTTGATAACATGCAAGACACCATTCCTCTAGAACATTAGTTATTTGAAAGGAAATCTTCTAAATATCTATGTGGAAATGCATTCGGTGTTTCTGGTTAATAGAAAGGGATGGATACCAGTCTAACATAAGTGGAGATGCCTTATGATGATAAACAGATGATTTTGTAGTGTCTACTGAAGAGAAGTTTATAACTTTCAGGCCCTGAAGCAGTTACCAAGAGAAAAAATTCAATTGGCCACAAAGTTTGGCATTGCAGGAATGGCACTTACTGGTATGATTGTGAAGGGTAGCCCTGATTATGTCCGCTCATGCTGTGAGGGTAGTTTGAAGCGCCTTGATGTGGATTACATTGATCTTTATTATCAGCACCGAGTGGATACATCAGTACCCATAGAAGAAACTGTGAGTTTCCTTCTCCTTATGCTATGCTGCGAAGAAGCTGATCTATTTTGGTAGAAGGTTTTAAAACCACATTTTTTTCTTAAAATGCAGATGGGTGAACTTAAGAAACTGGCTGAAGAAGGAAAAATCAAGTACATTGGATTATCTGAGTCCAGTGCAGACACAATAAGGAGGGCACATGCAGTTCATCCCATCACGGCTGTACAAATGGAGTGGTCCCTCTGGACTCGTGAAATTGAGGATGAGATAGTCCCACTTTGCAGGTTTGCTCAATTTCCTTTCCAAGTTCTGAAGAAAAAAGTCTACGTTTCAATTATTTGTTCTCAAATATATAGGCAAGTAGTTGACGCATTTACCTTGCAGGGAGCTTGGTATTGGAATAGTTCCATATAGTCCCCTTGGTCGTGGCTTCTTTGGTGGCAGAGCAGTAGTGGAAAGTTTACCTGCAGGCAACTTCTTGGTATGCATATGTCAATCTTGTTTCCTTTCCATTAGTTTAACAAGTGACATGGAAGTTTCCAGGAAACTATGCTGTATTTTTTATTCCATTCCTTCAAATCTTTTCTCCATTGAAAATATTTGCTGCAATTTTCACTCTTTTTTTTTTAAACTTTAAACCTGAGTATCTAGCAGATCTAACAATGAATGGTTTTTATTTTCTCCTTTAAGATATATTTTTTCCTTTATACCTAAGTATCTAGCATTCAATATATTGTTCACTTGCATTGGAGGAAATTGTTCTATTAATGACTGACAACGTTTTTTCTTTAATTATAAGGCCTCACATCCTCGGTTCCATGGAGAAAACTTGGACAAGAACAAGAACATTTACACTCGAATAGAAGACCAAGCCAAGAAGCGCCAATGCACTCCTGCTCAACTCTCACTGGCATGGATTCTCCAACAAGGGGATGATGTTGTACCTATTCCTGGTGAGAGGCTTTATCTTTATTGTTTCCTAATGCTTATGTCATCTTATAGGAAAAATGAGAAAACCAAACAGGATGTAACCAAGGTCCTTTGAAGTATGATTCTATGCCATTATTTTAGTCTGGAATCTTTCGGTTGTAATGTGGATTCAAGATATTAGCTTCTGCTCTTCCGGTCTGATTAGTATAATAGATAACTAACAATCAAACAAACAACCAATCAAGTAAATAAAACATGGAAAGGTAACTTTGAAAGTACCCAACATTTTGTGCTTCATACCATCCTGACGTTTCAAATATGAAATTTTAGGGCCTAACAACTCATCAGCCCAGACTTTTGTTGCCTTATGCTATCTCAACTGAATTTATTTCATAATATGAGCACTACCTGCCATATTCTTACTTTACATTTGCCTTGAATTTTTGTAGGAACAACAAAGATTAAGAACCTGGATCAGAATATTGGCTCCTTGAAAGTGAAACTCACACCAGAGGACCTGAAAGAAATTTCTGATGCTGTGCCCATTGAAGAGGTAGCAGGTGATAGAAATTATGATAGCATGAGGAAAGCATCATGGAAGTTTGCAAACACACCACCAAAAGATTTTGGGGTCTCAACTTGAGGAACTTGTGGTTGTTATTCATCTCACTTGGAAACAGTTGATGAATAAGTCAATTGAAATGTTCAAGGCACGTTCATGAGCTGTTTGTATCATGTATTGACAACTTTTGGGCATAGACCTATATGAGCTGCCAAACTATCAAATTTTATAAGAATGAATGATGTTAATCTGATTGCTTGGATGAATTATTCCATAATCCAATGCCTAAACATCAGGTATGTGCTTCAAGAATGTCCAGCCTGGAAGAAGGTGCAGCCTTGAACTGATCATGATGAGCTTATTTTCAATCTGAGAATGAAAAATTTTCTGATAAGTTACAACTATAAGTTTAGGTTGCAAAAGAGGTGTCCAAGCGTTTACTTTTATAACCCAGATTGAAAGGATAGGTAAACGGTCTTTCTTTTACCCTTTGTTGAGAAATAAAATCCAAATTTTATGTTAAAATAACCAATTTAGGGCTACCCTGTCAAGCATTGCAGCTAAACATGATATGAGAAGAATTATTTGCAAAGCTTCTTTTTCAGGGTTCATCTTCAGAATTGCGACCTAGAAATAAGCTGCACTCACATCACTACTTTTTTCTTCGGTTAACATTAGAAATATACTATATTTGCAAATACAGAAATTGGCTGAGAAGCATGGATGTACCCCTGTGGCCTGCACAACTTGTACTTGCCTGGGTTCTTCATCAAGGGGATTGTATAGCACCTATTCCTGGTGAGTCACCTTCTGTAGTTTTCAGATATTTCAACTGAAAATCGGAGCGGAAGTAGCATAATTGGCCTGAAAATCTCGTACCAAGTACCAATTACCTTGTTTATATAAATTGGATTAGGATCGTAAGTTTTGATCCTCTCTTCACTTTATGTAGAAACAACCAAGACCAAAAATCTTGATAGCAACATTGACTCACTGAAAGTGAAGCTCACAGAAGAAGATTAAAAGGAAATTTGTGATGTGATTCCACAAATGAGGTAGCAGGCGCTGTTATGCCGCATGGTTTAAATTAATTCACGTCGAACTTTGGTAACAAACCACCAAAGGATAGCAAGATTCCAACTTAAAATAACTATGGTTGCTAAGTCTGCAACAAAATATGATGGTTTTGGTGAATGGATGGACTCCCCAGAAAATGATCCTATTCAAAGACTAAAAGTTTGTATTGATGAGTTACTAAGCTTTGGATACATTAATGAAGGGTTCAGTTAGAGCAGAAGCCGGCATTACCAAAACAAACAAGTAAGCGGACTAGTAGGCTAGCAGTAACAGTAGCTTTGCTATTGAATGTTTATCAAAAAAGAATGCATTTACTTGCATGGTATTCCTGTCTGTGATTTGTAGCTAGTAATCTCCCATTGGTTATAGTTGATAATGGCACAGATTGTTTATCAGTTGTAATACAGTTCTTCTTGATCTCTTCTTATCTCTCATTTTAACTTACTGTTCACTCTGAAATTCTGTATTTGAAGATATAACCTCATTTTATTTTTTATCTTAAAAACTTAGTGCAAACCAAGACCCGCAGAGCACCAGTGGTCTAGTGGTAGAATAGTACCCTGCCACGGTACAGACCCGGGTTCGATTCCCGGCTGGTGCAATCTTTATTTTTCCGTTTACTTATTGTTGAAATGCGAAGCGCCAAGTTCCTCTTCAACAAGAGTTTTCCCTTTTATTTCAAGTTTCAACCCCTTTCCAACGATCACTTGTCTCAACAGACAAAAAGATTATCAGACATGGCAAAAGAAGAAACTTGTTACAAGTTCCAAGAGTGAAACTGGGAAGCCAGGGACTTGAGGTAAGTTTGAGTCTCTCTTTATGTTGTCTTTTAATTCATTGAGCACCTATTTCTGTTTTTGTTTAAAAACCTCACTTTCATCTTGTTGGATTAAAACCAATCTTGTGTTCAAATCTGTGGATTAAAATTAATTTGGATTGAACATTACTGTTATAATGTTTATGAAAATTTTAAACTTTTGTTTGCATAGATGGTAAGTAAACTTTGAATGGAGAGTATTTCTTCAGTGTTTTCAGGTAATTCAGTGTACAATTCAGTTGAGATTAAGGTGAGCTTTGAGAGATGACAGATTTTGATCAACCGGATAATCTTGTCTCCTCAATAATTATTTAAAATGTGTTAGCTTTATCAAAAGGTGGCTTATTAATTTGCTAAAGTTAGCATATGAGTAACAACAATTTGTATTTGAAGCTCTTTCTTCTGATCTTCATAGAGGTATGGAGTAGAATTAAAAAAATGACTACAACTGACTAGTGAATAAATTAAGAAATCAAGGGAATGGAATTTTTGTGCCATTTGGAAAGATTAGGAATGGCTGAAACATCCCTTATTCATGAAAGAAAAATAAAATTTCTCTGAAAGTAAGAGTTGGTTAAGTTGTCTTCACGTTCTTGACAGTGATGGACCCTAGGACAAATCAAGATGTTTGAGTTCTAAAGTTATTAAGTTGTAGATTTACACAAGCAGGGGCGTGTATCTCAGTCTTCGTCTGTTCCGGACTTCTACTATTCTCTTTGTTTGTGCAACAGGTTTCAAAGTTGGGTTATAGATGCACAGGTCTAACAGGAATCTACCACTCTCCTCTCTCTGAGGAGGAAGTTATCTCCATCATAAAAGATGCCTTTGCCAAGGGAATCACTTTCTTTGATACAGCTGATGCATAAGGACCTCGTACCAATGAAGTATTGATTGGGAAGGTAAACATCTCTTTTTGTAACTTAGAAGCTAGAACATTTGGAATATTTGGTTTCTATTTGTCAGTAACATGTAAAATAACATTCGTCATTCGAAAGAAAATCTCCTAGAAAATCTATGTGAAAATGCTTCCTGTGTTCCTGGTTAGTAAAAGGGGATACCTACCAGTGTACATAAATGGAGACACCTTACGATTACACAACAATACTTTGCGATGTCAACTGACGAGAAGTTTTTAACTTCCAGGCACTGAAGCAGTTACCAAGAGAAAAAATTCAATTGGCCACAAAGTTCGGCATTGCAGGAAATTCTCCTACTGGTTTGATTGTGAAGGGTAGCCCTGAGAACATCCGCTCATGCTGTGAGGGTAGCTTGAAGCGCCTTGATGTGGATTACATTGATCTCTATTATCAGCATCGAGTGGACAGATCAGTACCCATAGAAGAAACTGTAAGTAAATTCTCCTCCTCCTCCTTATGCTACTCTGCTAAGAAGCTGATCTGTTTTATCTTTTATAGTTGCTGGTAGAGGGTTTTGGTAACCACATTTTTCTTAAAATGCAGATGGGTGAACTTAAGAAACTGGTCGAAGAAGGAAAAATCAAGTACATTGGATTATCTGAGTCCAGTCCAGACACGATAAGGAGGGCACATGCAGTTCATCCCATCACAGCTGTCCAAATGTAGTGGTCCCTCTGAACTTGTGATATTGAGGATGAGATAGTCCCACTATGCGGGTTTGCTCAATTCCTTTTCCAAGTTCTGAAGAGAAAATTCCATGTTCTAATTATATGTTGACAAATATGTAGGTCAGTTTTTTGATGCATTTATCTTGCAGGGAGCCAGGTATTGGAATAGTCCCATATTGTCCGTTGGTCGTGGCTTCTTTGGTGGCAGAGTAGTAGTGGAAAGTTTACCTGCAAGTACCTTCTTGGTATGCTTATGTCAATCTCGTTTCCTTCCCATTAGTTTAACAAGTCAAGGATTGGAGGGGAATCTCCAGGAAATTATGAAGTATTTTTTAATTCCATTCCTTCTAATCTTTGGAAAATCCTTGTTACAATTTTCAATGTTTATTACTTTAAACCTGAGTATCTAGCAGATCAAAGTAATGAATGGTTTTCTTTTCTATTTTATTTTTCCTAAAGCTGAAAGCAAATGAAACTTTTTCTCATGAAACTTGCTTCGGAGGATTTTGTTCTGTTAATTGCATACAGCTATTTTCTATGATTATAAGACCTAACTTCCCCGCTTCCAGAGAGAAAACTTTGACAAGAACAAGAAGATTTACACTCAAATAGAAGACCAGGCCAAGAAGCGCCAATGCACTCCTGCTCAACTGGCACTGGCATGGATTCTCCATCAAGGGGATGATGTTGTACCTTGGTGAGAGGCTTTGCCTTTATCGTTCCATTAGCATACACCATCTTATAGGAAAATAAGAGAACCAAACAAGATGTAACCAAGGTCCTTTGAAAAATGATATGATACCATTATTTTCCTGAAACACAAGGAAACCAAAGCAAAGAGTATACTTTCTGCCAATCTGATTAGGAGCTTATAATTTTACAAAAACGACACTACAGAGATATAATGGAGAACTAACAAAAACAAACATCCCATAAAGTTATAGAACATGCCAATATGTTGTGCATCAGGTACTTTCTGACATATGATCTTCAGATATCTTCATAAATTTTAGGGCCTAACAAGTCATCAGCCCAGACTTTAGCTACCTTATGCTCTCTCTACTGCATTTATTTCATTATATGAACATTGCATGCTGTATTCTTACATTACATTTGCTTCGAATTTTCATAGGAACAACCAAAATTAAGAACCTGGATCAGAGTATTGGTTCCTTGAGAGTGAAACTCACAGCTGAGGACCTGAAAGAAATTTCTGATGCTGTACCTATTGAAGAGGTAGCAGGTGATAGAAACAATGATAGCATGAGGAAATCATCATGGAAGTTTGCAAACACACCCCCAAAAGATTTTGTGGTCTCAGCTTAAGGCACTTTTGGTGGTTGTTAATCTCACTTGGAAACAGTTGATGAATAAGTCAATTGAAACGGTTAAGGCACATTCATGAGCTGTTTGTATCATGTATTGAGAACTTTTTGGCATAGACCTTTATGAGCTGCTAAACCATCAAATTTTATAGGAATGAATGATGTTAATCTGATTGCTTACAATTGTATGCTTGGCCAAATTATGGATGAATTATACTATAATCCAAGGCCTAACATCAGGTTCAGGCACTACAGTGGAGAATATATCTGTTTTCCAAGGCAAAAAGGATTTCCATATGAGGTAAATCCATAATGGTATCTCATTCAAGAAGATGCAGCCTTGAACAGAAGAGATGTTGGCTCCAAGTGCAAGATAACTTCATCTTCACATAGCTTGACAATTTGCTCCTCTGGCAAGGTTCCCTTTACCGTCCTTGTAAGCTCTTCATCTGGTCAACCCTTCACCTTCGACATTCCCCACATGGCATGCCCCATGAGCAGGCTTCACATTGTCCTCAAACATAGCAGCATACATCAAAGGTCGATCCCCATTAATCATATACTCCATGTGAACACAGATTAGTTCAGGGCCATACATCCTAGAGGGTAATGAATGTTTTCCTCCCTCTCCCTTTTGTGGTGCAAGCCAATCTACCACGGACATCCCTGCCAAATAGCCATGCACTGCATCAACCGCAAGTCCTAACTCACCAGGAATCATATCTTTCTTCGCCAACGACAGCAGTGAAAAATGCAAATGCATTGCCAAAATAGCCATGAGTGGCTCCTTCAACAGCCTCCTGAAGTCTATGCAGATTGAAAGGCAGTGTGTACGATCATGTCAAGAGCCCTTTAAACGCGCAACACTCATCCAACATTCATCCATTCCCAGCTATCAATGTATTTTTCATGCATGCATGCATATAATAATTTCATACAATAATAGTTCATAAAATGAATAGAAAATGTTAAAAGAACTCTAACTTTTATTTATATGAAATACGAAAAAAATAATTTATTCAATCAAGTTTTCCAACTAATTGAATTAAAGGGATATTAAATTTAGATAGCTTTTTATTGAAATTTAATGAGGGTGGATCTCACAATGAAAATTGTTATTACTTATATCTTTCGGGCTTCTACATTACATTTGAACATTTATTTTGGAAAATGGTTTTAGAAAAAAAAAATCCTTCTTTAAATTTCACAAGAATAATATATAATAAATAAAAAAATATTTTTAAAAAATATTTTAATAATCTTTAAACAAAGTTTATTTTATATGTCTACTTTATTAAAACTTCAATCCAATTACCTTGCAATGCTTAATAATAATAATAATAATAATAATAATGTCAAAGTTCACAACTTAGTGTTGTATTATACCTAAAATAAAGATTTATAAATGCTTTTGTATTTTTTTCCCCCCAAAAAAGAAAATCAAGCTTGTAAAAAACAATAAATGGGTCAACCCGATCCAATCCATGGGATGGAAATTTGATCCAAATAAAAATAAAAATAAAAACCTTAAAATCCAAGTTTCGGGCAAAAGCAATAGTCGATGGGCCTCAGCCTGCCCATGAATTTTTTTGGCCAATCTACCCATGAAATTGGAAATATACCTTTTTTTTTTCCAAGAAAATTCAGAAACAAAAATTTTGGGAATTTCAATTATCCAAAAAATAATAATAACGAATTAACATTAGATAAAATCCAAGAGACAAGTAAAGTGAAAAGAAAAAAAAAATGGTGGCTCGAAAGTTTCTGGTTCGCCACGACGACTCCGCGTTTGCCGTCGATTACGACACCGATGACGGTTTCGAAGTCTCTTTTTGTCTCTGCATGATTTTTTTTTCCTTTGATTTTCTCTCTCTAGAACTTTTGTTTTTTCTTTTTTTAAATTTTCAGGTATTTCAGTTTCAGATCTTCTCTCTCACTTCAATCCCTCCCGAAGACCAAAAGGTCAAATGGTTCTCTCTCTATGTGTATCTGTCTATCTATCTCTCTAATGAAGTTCTTTTTGATGACTGGTTTTGGACGTTGCAGATCATCGGGGAAGGTAATGATCGGATCGTATCGGACGATTCCAGCCTGGCTGCGGTTTCGGAGAAGCTTCGATTGGTATCGATCGCCGCTGAGGAGGAGAGAAAACTGGAGAAACAAGAAGAGACGACGAGTAATACCGCTGGCACCGACACCGGGTACTTCGATGCCGGAACCACCGTGATGTCCGATGAGGAATTGGCACGAATGTTACAGGTTTTGATTCTGAATATTGAACCAACAACTGCATTTGCTTCTTCGCTATGAACTGTTTTAAAATTTTATATTTTTTCTGGATTTTTTGGTTATGTTTTTGATTAATTTAGGCAGAGGAGGAAGCGCTTTTGCTTGAACAATATGTAGCAGGTGAAAATGGTAGCCAGTTTGAAGAGAGAATTTGGCCTTATGTTAGTCAAGTTCTCATGGTAATTCATTTATTTCTTTTTTTTTACATTACAAATTTGGATTATTCATATGGTTGTTAGTTCATTTGGTTTGTGAGAAAATGTATGAAAAATATAATTGGTAGTGAATTAGACATTAGTGCGCGATAGGTAACTCATTGACTTTTGGAGGAAAGAAAAAAGAAACTTTCAGGAAATGTAGGAAAATGCAGTAGTTGTGAATGATGTTTTGATTATGGGCTCTTTTTTTTTTCATTTTGAACTTGTTAGACTACAGAAATAGAAAAACATTGAACTTCTGAATGTTAAAATTTAGCTGCAAGAAATGAGGATAACTGACTTTACTGAATAGTATGGGAATCAGAAGATGGGATACCTTTGTTATTGTTTGTTTATATTTACTTTTTCCCTCTATTATTTATTGTTGAATAGATGGTTAGTACTTTGTAGCATAACTTTGATATGTCATCTATTATTGTAGTATGAGGATCCTGTACGCCAGGAAGCAGCTCGGAAGACGGTTCCTGCAGATAATCTTGAGGAGAAAGCGTTGGTTTCTTTGGCCAAGGTGAGGACTTTGGACTTGTGCAGTGTAGAAATTGTTAGAGAGTGCCGCTGCCCTAAAATGTGTACTGATATCAAGCAAAATAATAAAAATATCAAGGATCAATGGTCCGATATCTTTTTCCATTAGGAAATATTTGAGAGCCCTTTAGTGTGCATGATTATTGCTGTCTGTTAGTGCTGATATATTTTGAGCACTTACATGAACAAATGCCTTTAATTTTGGTTTCTTCTAAAATCTTGTTTACTCCTTTTTAGGGGAAAAAAGGTTGATTTGTGACTTTATCTTAATTAAGGATCAAAGAATGACGGTTCTTTTCTGTTAAAATTGACATTGCATTTTGCTATGTATGAGATTAAGAACCATCACATTTCTAGATTTTATTTTGCAATAACATCATGATAATTGGTGATTTTGCTAAATATGCTTTAGGAGGGGAATCTTAATCCGTCAAAAATTGAACAAGATCATGCTTTCCTACTCCAGCTGCTTTTCTGGTTCAAAAGATCCTTCAGGTGTTTTCTGCTTCTTTACTGTCAGGATTGTTGAACTTTCTCACAAACTCAACAGAAAACTTTTCAGTTAAATTCTTTAGTAATTTTCCACAGCTGAAGTAAATAAGAATAAAACTAATCTTTAGCTTTGCCTTTTACTCAGATTTTATAAAGTGCACAATGTGTTTTATAGCATCCTATTATGAATAAAACTTGTAGGCAACATAGGAAAGTCTATTTGGTTGCCATGCAAAGTTGGCAGAATCGTGTTTGTAATTCCAAATTTACTGAAATTGTGTTCTCTATTATTATACATTGTTGATCCTTCAATTCTTGTCTTGAAGTTGGGTTCATGCACCTCCTTGTGATGGTTGTGGTAATGAAACCGATGGTCAAGGAATGGGTGATGCACTCCCTTCAGAAATTCAGTATGGAGCAACTAGAGTTGAACTTTACTGGTCAGTGTATAGAACATTTTTGTTTAATAGATATGTATATACATTCATCTTGTTTAATTCATACTAGTCAGTTTGGCATATATTGTTTAGTTTAACCTATGTTTCCATTTAGTTCTTCCTTGAAGCCTGTTACATAGATGGCTGAGGTCCTTATATTCATGCTCAATTGCCTTTCCATAATGTTCTGGAAGCTGGAGTAATTTATACCTATGAATATCATTTCTGAAAGATTTGAATTCGCATCCTGTGTTAAAGTTTGCGTGTAACAACTGCTTGCATGAGTGTTTGACACTGTAGATAACTATTTTTTTCTCACATTGTTATTCCTTTGATCTATTTTGCCATCTTCAAGTCCTATCCCTTCTTTATTCCATGAAGTCTTAGTTAGATGAGGTCTTGACACATCACATGAAAAGAATTAAGGTTGATAAGTTTTGGTTGGCGCCCTGTTGTCTCCTTTGTTGTATTCGCGGTCATAACTTGGTTTTTGATAATTTTCTGTTAGAAAGCAAAGTTAATTTTTTCATGGACAACTGCAGTTGCAATACTTGTTCAAGAGTTACTCGATTCCCACGCTACAATGATCCACTGAAGGTATGATGCTGTATTAGTTCGTTTTAATATTATCTTTTATTTTTGGGGGTCAAGAAGTCCTTGTTTCATGAATCTTTCTCCCTTTCATATTTGCAGCTTGTGGAAACAAGGAAGGGGCGTTGTGGAGAGTGGGCCAATTGCTTCACATTGTACTGTCGTGCTTTTGGCTATGAATCTCGTCTGGTTAGTCATTGATGGATGCCATTTCAATCTCCAAATCCAACTTTCTAACAAACAACTTCTTCTTTCTTGCAAAGAGTGGTCAAGATAATTTAGGATAACAAAGAAAATTAGTGTTAACTGCTGTTCTGGTAACCTATTTTGACCTATATTCAGATATATGTAGCTGGAATTGTTTTGATCTGAAGCTTTGGATGATAGGACATTCGTAATATCTAGGCTACTGAAAAAAGGGAAAAATTCAGTGAGAGTGGAATAAAAGATTTAGAAACTCAGGGAAGTTAACTTTAATTTGAAATTATGAGAATGTTTTACCTGGATGATTTTGATTCTGTTTATACTTGAAGAGATAGGTCAAACAAAGAACATGTTCAAGATAGGTTTCAAGAAATTTGAAATTTCGTATTTTTTTATGTATAATATTTTGATACCTGTGTCATTGTAAATGGAAACCAGTTTTAGCTTTATAATTTATGACATGTGAAAGGGGAGCCTTCGCGCAATTGGTAAGTTGCTGCCATGTGACCTGGTGGTCACTGGTTCGAGTTGTGGAAACAGCCTCTTGCAAAAATGCAAGGAAGGACTACATACAATAGACCCTTCCCCGGACCCCATGCATAGCGGGAGCTTCATGCACCGGCCTGCCCCTTTTCTAAGTTATGACTTATGAATGGTTCCTTTGCTGATAATTATGGCCATTGAAGCTATTTATTGTGCAATATTTGGAATCAATATTTCTAGTGGTGTGGCATATAACTGAATTGTATACTTTCTGTACAGCCAAATCAGACATAGTTGTATGCATGTTTGTCAGCTCTAGATGAGATTCCGTGGGCTTTCTGATACTTTGCTTTGTGGAGTTCTGATTGCTTGAGATGATGGTGTTTATGTATACCAACTGTTCTTTTCCAGGTCCTGGATTTTACAGACCATGTTTGGACGGAGTGTTACTCAGAAGTTCTGGGAAGGTAAAAAACTTAAAATTGATGCCTTTAATCTTCTCTTGTGAAAGAACTGATCATGTCACCAATCAGTTTATACATACATTTTTGTACAGGTGGATGCATCTTGATCCTTGTGAAGCAATATATGACAGACCATTATTATATGAAAAAGGGTAATCTTAGTTGTACCGTTATCTTATTTCAAAACAATTTCTTTTTTTTTGGTTCTGATGCTAGACTTTTTTTAATACTTTCTTTATACAGGTGGGAGAAGAAATTAAATTATATAATTGCTATTGCAAAAGATGGAGTTTATGATGTCACAAAACGTTACACAAGGAAGTGGGATGAGGTAGTTTAAAAATAGTAATTTTGATCCATACAAGCACTTTATTCCCTTCAGTCCTTTTTTGCTTCTTAAACTTACAATGCTTATTGATACATTGTTATGGAGAACATGATTTCTCCTCCTCCTCCCCCCCAAGCTCACCTTTTTGGTTGTAACCATTGGTTTCTAGGTTTTGTCTCGACGAACTCTTACCACAGAGTCCTCTCTAGTATCTGTTCTTGCTTCAATGACGAAAGAATGCCGAAGAGACTATACATCTCAAGTTCTTTCTGTACTTGAAGAACGTGACAACATTGAAAGGGAAGCTCTAGAGAGAGATTCACATTCTACTGATGATGCTTCAATCTTGTTACCTGGGAGGCAAAGTGGGAGTTTGCAATGGCGCATTGCAAGATCCGAATTTGGGACTGACTCTCTGAGTTCATCTTCTTGTCCAGTTCGTATGTGTAGAGATGAGCACGTTACAAGAATCTATAATGCATTTTCTGCTATCCTTCATAAGTTTGTTGAGGATTCTTTAATTGTATCCAAAGGTGTTGAAGTTCTCAAGATTTTTAGGGCCACTGTTGTAGATCTCAAGAAATTACCGTATAAAGAAAGGAGAGCTTCTTTAAAGTCAAACTCAATTGTTGGAACATCTTTGATGCATCATTTGCTACCCTCTTTTAATGAGTTGCTTAATGCGCTTTCGCTGAAGAGTGAACTGGATACTAATGGCATTGTCAGTGTTTGCTTAGCTGGTGACCCTGTTGAAACTGCTTTAGCATTGCCTGTTGCCTTGCATGCTTTGGACGAATTGATCAGTGACCTTAGCAAATGTTACAACTTTAGTAAAGGTTCTCTATCCTTTCCTCTTCTGAGATTGAATAGAATATGTTCCGGAGCAGTCCTTGCAAGTGGTGAAGAGCTTCCTTTTGGGATTGTAAGTAATAATATTCTCATGTTTTACATCTATCTACCATCTGGGAATGAAATGCCTTTATGTGCTATAGAAATTATCTTTAAATTTTCCCCCTTGAAAATATCCAGGCCACAGCAGCATTTGATGGAACTCGCATGTCTAAATGGGTGGAACCTAGTGGCGCTAAAGGTATTATTAACAGAGCATATTTGCTTTTGTCTGGTTATTACTAAATGATATCAAAACCTAATGGAGGAAAAATATACTGTGAGATAATTAATGTATGACCTGAGATTTGAATGCTTAATGCCAAGTACGAGACTTCATCATTCCTTCTACCCTACTAAGCAGAAGACTCAGTTCTACATGGATATTTAATTGGGAAATGTATTAACCGCTTGTTGCTGCAGCTGATATGTTTTTCACTGCAACACTACCTCTCTCTCTTAAAAGTTGAATTTCGTCTTGTAGGTTGTTATATCATGTACAAATTATCTGGCAGCATACAGGAACTTGTTGCATATGAGTTAATGTCAGCCAATGATGCTCCAGAAAGAGATCCAATGAATTGGTATGATTTGCTTATATGTCTCTAAGCATGTTCTTTGTTCTAACTCTTAAGGACCACATGCCTTTTATCATGGGCTGCCTCATGCCTATATTAGGTCACAAGTTAAGATGACTCTTTTAAGGACTTTATAATTACTACACTAAAAATCATTACATTCAAGGTAATCAGATGCATTAAATGTAACAATCTTTCCTAAATTGATGAACATAACCTGTGGTTTTTTCCATGTCTTTTTTCTACTTTTGTTCTTGACAACTTTCTATGGAAAATAACTTCAGTTTTGAAGTTTAAATACTTTTGGAAAATTGGAAATTTAAAACATTATTTATGTTTAGTGTAATATTGTTTCTAGTTTCAAAATAAGGTTAAGAAATAGTGTTGGAAGACAGAAAATGTTGTTTCTCGTATTCAGAAAACTGAGAAAATAACGGTAAAAGAAATTTTATTCCTTCTCATACAGCATGGAAATCCTTGTATTCTGAAAATTGGAATTTGAAGCCATGCATCTAAACTTGTTTTCTATTTTCTCAATCTGCAGAACCAGAGAATGTTCGAAAACTAGATGCACCTGTAGTTTCTTGCTATATAAGAGATAGAAATTAGATGGTGTTTTCTTTCTGCTTCTTTTCTAAACTTTGGATTTACCTCTAATGGTCACTAAGATTATCGTCTACCAGGGGGCAAACTATATTTATGCCAACCATGTGGATCTTTGATCTTACTTCGCATCCAATGTTTATTTTTACAGGGTGGTTGAGGGAAGTAACGATGGAGGATCAAGTTGGCATGCTTTGGATGAACAAACCTCTCAGGTGTTTGATAAACGTTTTCAACGAAAAACATATAAAATAAGATCAACAGGTTTCTTATCAAATATTTTCAGGTGAGCTATGCATGTCGGTAGTTTGTCTTATGTGCAATTTCAGTTAACCTTTCTCGAAACCGATGTTTTAACGATATCATGTATGGCAGATTCCGGTTTTTGGCAGTAAGAGACGTTGAATCAACCTCACGGCTGCAAGTGGGTAGCATTGACCTGTATGCTAGTCTAAGTTAATGTTCCTTGTAACTTACCGAAGAAAACTCGAGGATCATCGTTGCAAGTGAAAGAACCTTGTGATTTAAATCTGTTTAGCTTTATTCATGGCTTTCCTGTCTCCTCCAACCCATAATGGCTAGGTCAAGAATCTGGCATATTGGAGTATATTTGTTTGTGTGCTGATAAATATTTACTCGAAATCATTTCTTGTAGCAAACATAAAAAAGACTTGACTACCCAAAGATTTTTCTTTTTTAATCTTTCAAACTCGCTTTAAACCTCCTACTCTTTGGGAAACTACCTAGTAAGATGCCTTTTCTAGTATGTTGCTTTGGCCATTTAAGTGAAGTAGGTATTTTTAATCATAACAAGATAATATAATACAAAAGTAATATAAAAATAATATGATTTAAAATTTTAGTATAAATAATATATAAAATTTAAAAAAATTATAAAATATATTTGATATTTACCGTATTGATATGAATTATGATATAATAATATTTTTCATGTATTAAATACAAAAAAATATATATATATATAAATATATGAATTATACATTTATTTGTAATCATTTATAAATTAATGAAAATCTAAATATTAAAAAAGAAAAAAAAACTCCCAGTTACCATCAAGATAATGAACCAAAACTGAAATTTTCAGATAGGAAGGCATTCAAATCCACCAGCTCCATTTATGTCCTGTCCCAAAATGTACAGTTCCAAAAAAGTCCTATGAAGACTGGAGGACTGAAACAACAGTTGGATGCAACAGCTGATTGCAGTCACATAGATAGAACAATTTTCAGAAGTCAAGTGAACAGAATGTCTATTTCTGTCATCAAAGTATTTTAGATGGTAAAATGATCAAAATTAAAAAGAAAGAAGAAAAGATAAACATTGTTATATTGTTCCCAAGCCATAAAGGGTTCATCCATCTCTCTTGCTTTCCCTTCAGCTCCTTTTGGGGTCAATGCTCCTCAATCTTCTTCAACCCCTTCATGTCTGTCGTTTCCACCCTGCATTACAAACAAAATATCAACAGATCTTACAATATATATGTATGTATATATGTATGATTGTCCGGCTACTGCAATAATGAGAGGAAATGCAAATATCATATACATCTAGGCTTGTTGAAGATTTAGGGAAAACAGCTCAGTACACTCGTTCTTTTGTTCTTAATCCCTCAGCCAGTCAATATGTTGTGCATGGATTATAAGTTTTTGTCGTTCACCAGCAATAACATATCAGGGAAACAGGGAGGGATAGAACATTATACAACTAGTGCCGAAATTTGGCACAATGAAATGAACTTGGCAGATATTACTGTTTCTTCATGCAGGAAATGCATGGAAATCTATATTAAAAGTTAACAAATAACTTTGACAGGGCATCCTCTAGTGAGAAACTAGTATTCAGAGGGGGATTCAACATATTACTTTACGCCTTCTCCAGCCACATAGTACTCTGACTCTCAGAGTCGAAGGTAAAAGTATGTCACTCATGCAATGGTAGTAAAGATGAGAAACACTCTAAAGGTCTATGAAGATTATAACCAAAAAGATAGTCGTAGAACCAAGTGGGAAGATGTATAAACCCAATTAAAATAACATCCAACAGAAGCAACAAAGCGAACAAATCCTCAAGTGATCTAGAAACTCTTAGTGGCATTTGAACAAAAAAAAAAAACAAACCCAAAGTTAGTTGCTAATAAGCAAAAAGGACAGGATATGTGCTAACAAAATATGTTCACCCATGCTCTTGTTTGCTAGATCAACAGTTTTAGGTAATGCAAATGAGCTCTTGGTTCTAGTAGTTTCAGAAATTTAAAGGTTGGGTGCAAGAAAGACAGTTTGATACAAGTATTACTCTTTTTCCTTACTAATAAGTAATAAGCATCACAGTTCTTTGAAAATGAGTTGACAAGTTATCAAAACATTAGCTCATGCCTTGAACAATATGTAAATCATAAAAATATCTCCTGTATTGAAATTTCTCAGTGAAGGGACATATTTGGCTGTATTGAAATTGTAGCAAATGACATAAAAAAAAATGTAGAGAACTAAAACCCATAATTATTAAAATCTTAAAATCTTAAATCTTACGTTGATCCATATAAAGCAATCTTCTGAACTTTTGTGATTTCAGAACATGATTGATTGTCTTCAATAAATATTGTCAAGCTGGCAAACATCATAAAGTAAAATTAACACTATTTTAATTAATGTTATGATAAAGACAAAATGGAGCACATCAGTGCACAAACTATAAACATACCTACGAACATTCTGGAACTTGACATACTTCAAGACTACTGGTTTCCCCTGAGAGAGAGAGAGAATTTTATAAGATCTATTAGTTCCAATGATTTCTTAAAATATCCTTATTACAGAGTAATTTCCTGAATAGAAAGACAAACAAAGAAGAGCCACCTTCAGATTATCTGGGGATAAAACAGCAGTGTCACTTGGAGGGAAGTCACTGACATTACTGCATTTAAGTACAACAAAATATCACCGGTGAAATGATAAGTGCTTAAAATTAATAAACCAATTAAGAGAATGTAATAATTCCTTCAACATTACCTAAACCCCATATGTTCCTTGTTCGTAAAAAGTTTCACCGTCTTTGGACCTGAAAAGACAACCTTCATGTTAAAATATTACCAACAATCAACAACCTCAAAGGTAATTCTAATAGGATACAATCTAAAACAGGCATTAATCAATGTGATTGAATTCAAGCTCAGATGCATAAATGTACACTTGAATAAAGATAAGTATAGGCAGAATCAATAAAGATTTATAGAAAGAAAAACATATACAAAAAATTTACCATCCTCTTCCGATCCCTTGATGACAATGGAATGTAGTTTAATGACTTGAGTGAAAGGGATATAAATCAGAAGTTGTTCATCTGCATCACTCTCAAGGTTCAAACCTTCATCTTCTCTATAACCCTAAATCATGAGCATAAAAATTAATTATTTCATGAAGATGGGCACAATTCCCACAAAAGTAACTTAATTGGCAAGATATATACATGATCTTTACAGTGGACAATGAAGTAAACCCTAAAAAAATCAATCTTTAAAAAGAACTTTCACTAAAACCATGATCTTTCCACTCAAAAAAGTAAACATGTCTGCCTAAATAATTCAGTAACAAATGACAATCAGCTATTACTAAGGTAAAAAGGAAAACAGAGAAACAATAATTGCTTGAAGAGAGTTACCTGCTTGAGAGCATTGGACAGAGAGTGACTGGAGCTTTGATTAAGGCATTCAACACCAGACCAATCAATAAAGTCCAAGAGATCAACCTAACCAATAAAAAAAACCCCAATCAAGTTAACAGTTTTAAAGAATCCTCTTTTAAATTACCCCTAAAAACCTGCGTTCAAAAGGTTATATAAAAAAATTTATCGGAAAATAGTAAAAAATCTTTTCAAGTTAAGAAAAAAAACCATCCAAAACACACAGTTGCCAGATTCCTTGTTTTCCAACCAAATTTCTCAGATTTTCTCAGAAACCAAACAAAGGGTATACAAAAAGGAAGAAACTTCGAAGATAGGAAGACTCACTAGGTTTCTTTGAATTGCAGCAGCCGATTCAGCAGCAGACATGGTTAAAGAGGTTAATGAGATTGCTGAGATAGAAAAATTATGTTTTGAGAAGGAAAAAGAAGGTTCAGAGAGAATAATTGGAGAGGAAGTTAAAGAGGAAGAAAGCCGTAAAGACAAAGACTTTTATAGTGCCTCCAATGGGTGTGTCCTAGGAAAAGACGAAACTAGAAGGCGATGATACGTCGGCGTTTAAGTACAAAGACATATTTTGGTCGGACTACTAAAAGTACAATCGAAACCAAGTTGGATTTTGAGAACTTTGCTGATCAAACCATGATCAAACCAAAAAGGACAGTGAAATCAAAAAGAAAATTATAGTGAAAAATAGTCATAGGTGAATTTTTTAGGCGAGAATCAAAGTTCTCCAACCCCCGAAGGCCCAAGATCTCTCTATAACAAGCAAAACAATATTTTACAAAGAAAAAAAACATCCACCCACCAGCAAAATCATCCAAGTGTCCAACTAACCCTCAAAAGTTCCTTCTCCTATCCTTCGACCTTTAACCCAAAGTTCACCAAACACCAATAGAACAAATACAGGTCAAACCCAATGCAAAAACCAGCCATTGGCTACATACCTTCATCAAACCAAAACCCCACAAAAACTAGATAGATTCTAAAAGCCCCATTTCACTCGTCATCCCATTCACCAAAAACCAATGGCTTCCTTAACCCTCCACCTCTCCTCCCTTCACAACACCTCCACCACCCCTTTTATCCTACGCAGCACTCCTCTTAACCTAAGCACCCCAACCCAGAAACCATTCTGCATCAGGTCCCAATCTGCCCCAGTCCTTTCCCAAGATAATCTCAAAAAACTTGCAGCTGACAAAGCAGTTGAGTCAGTCAAGTCAGGCATGATCCTAGGCCTAGGAACAGGCTCAACAGCAGCATTTGTGGTTGACAAACTAGGCCAACTCCTTTCCACAGGTCAACTTTCTAACATCATAGGAATCCCGACCTCAAAAAGAACACAAGAACAAGCTGCATCACTTAAAATCCCTTTATCTACCCTTGACTTGCATCCCCATATTGACCTTGCTATTGATGGTGCTGATGAAGTTGATCCTAACCTTGACTTAGTTAAAGGCCGAGGTGGTGCACTTTTGCGTGAAAAAATGGTTGAAGCAGCCTCATCTTCCTTCATTGTGGTAGCTGATGATAGTAAGCTTGTTTCAGGACTTGGAGGAAGTGGTTTAGCTATGCCTGTTGAAGTTGTGCAGTTTTGTTGGAAATATAATTTAGTTAGACTTGAAGGGTTGTTTAAAGAGTTGGGTTGTGAAGCAAAGTTGAGGTTAATAGGGGATGGTAGTGAAAAGCCTTATGTTACCGATAATGGAAATTACATTGTGGATTTGTATTTTAAGAATCTAATCAAAGATGGATTTGGAGCTGGGAAAGAGATTTCTGCCTTGGAAGGTGTAGTGGAACATGGGTTGTTTTTAGGGATGGCTACCTCTGTTATTATTGCTGGGAAGACTGGTGTGGAGGTTATTACTAAGTGATAAAAGAAAAGTGTGAGACAGAGGTGAGGTGGAAGTTTTATTTTTGTTGTTTATTATTTGATGTTTGTGGAGATTTTAATTTCTGTGGGGGGGAATTTGTTGCAAAAATTTTGGATTTTGATGTTGTGTAGAGTAATTGAACAATGTGGAATAATTGGGGATTTTGGAAATGAAATTGAACTGGTTAATGATTGTGTTGTTTTTTTTTTTTTAATTCTTGCAATGATCTATTTAATTTCCTTGTTGTGGTTGTTTCTGAAGTTCTTGGGTTAGATTTGTTTATGGATTTCTTATGTTGTTTGTTATTTGATGTTTGAGATCATTTGTAGGGTAATTGTTGCAAAGTTTGGATTATTAAATGTATACTATAGACTAGCTGTAGAATGTGGAATAATTGGCACTTGGAAATGGCCTGAATTGCTTAATGCTTAGTTATATGGTTTTTGGAATGGCCTACTTTGAATTTCATGTTAAATTGGGGCGTTTGTTTCCTAATTTCTTATAACTAGAAGTAATGAAACATTGAATATATAAGCAACCCTATGAACCCGGTAGCATATAACAGGACATTTTCAGAGTGAATCTGGTAGTATCATGCCTGAGATTTGTTGGTAGTGCCAGCCTTTCCATTAGTCATCTAAGAATGCAGAATTGCAGACAGGGTGAACCTGTAAATAAAGACACCTGACTTGGAAGTCTTAAACACTGTGCTTTGAGGCTGTAATAGGTTCTTTGGTGACTATTGTTGTGTAGGAAATGTGGCAATCGTCTCATGGTTTGTAACTTGTTCTTAACTCTGTTTATCAATCCTGCTTTGGTTAATTAACTGAGAAGAGTGAATGATCAAGGTAAAGAGTACTTAACCAGGATCACATTATATAAGCATGTTAGGGTGTCTTGTCTTTTCTTTTGCTCCCCTCCTCTCTGGTGTCTCCCCCAATTCCCAACCCCATTCTCACCCACCACCTAGCAGTTCCTTTGTCTCTTTTGTCTTTCCCTTAACCGTTGGAGGGTAACTAGTTTTCTCACTATCTCAGCAACTTTACATAGGAGTGATCTTTCTTTCGACACTATTTTCATTTGAATTGACATCTATTAACGTTGGTCATCGGCCACATATGAACATCTAGCTCAGAATCAGTTACATTTACCTAGCCAATTTGTATCATAGTGCAGTTTTAATTTTTCCTTCTTTTGTTCTTAGCATGAATTCTGAGAGAAAAAATGTTTGGGTCTTGGGATGGGGCGTATAGGAGCAGGTTTTGGTTGGGGACAATATATTTGGTGCTTGAGACAAACTAGTTTATTTACAAATAACCAAAAAAGAAAAAGGTATAACTATAATATACAAAAAATAACTGTAATAGACAATAGAGTTCTTTAACAGCAATCATCCCTCACTGAGCCCAACTTCTTTTATTCACATATACAGACTGAAAAAACATAGAAGAATCAAATCAATAGTACTTCATATATCTAAGTATAACCGACGATGACACTATGACACTATAAGCTGGTGAGCTGAGGGCCTGATTTATTGCACATCCTACTTCCATAGAACCATAGCCATGGACATCATCAAAATGGCCGCCCAATGAAGCTTCCCTGGCAAGAATGTGCTAGCTGAAAATAAGATAGAGAGAAAGAAGGATGAGAGTTTGAAACAGAACAATTGTCATTATTTGTTGAGTCAAATTTGTGTATAAACTAATGCATTTTTGGCTTTTATATGAAGTCATATATGAAAACCTTTAAGTCAATTTGTACAAATGTAAGCAAGCATTTAAAAACACAAGTAGTCTGAAGTTGAAAAAAATAGCTAACGTAAAACAAGGGTAAGTTGTTGAAAACAGATCCTGGGTTTGACTTATGTTCTCAATTAATACATGCCAATACATGATAGTAGCGCCTTCACTCATCAGGCTTACTTTTATATGGTTTTCATAAATTTCTTTTGGGATGTTGGATATGACTGGCATTCGTGGTTTTGTATTCTCTATAACTGCTGCTAGTATGTGTGCCTTAAAACTTCTATTTTATTAGAGAGTTTGCATGGTAACTTCACCTTTTCCACCAGCTGGAGCTGGTGTTGATTGTTGATTTTGAACTGTAATCCCAAGGCGGGAGCAATCAGATCCAAGTGTACCTTAGAAATAAAAAGGCCATGAGTTTGATCAGTTTCTCTAAGTTTGTTGCTCTTAATTGAACTTGAACAATCGTGCACTAAAATTTCGAGTTTGTGTTCTTACATGGACTATAGCAAGGGAAGTATGTTTTGTTGAGAAGATTGGAGAACCCAGGTTTGCATTCACATACATGATTGTACGTTGCTGTTTTGTTGCATGTTCCTTCTCCGCAGTAAGCCCAGTAGCAAGCTATCACAACAACCACAAATAACAAAGGTAAAAGAACTGTTAGCAAAGAAGCTGAAAACTATGACAGATTTGGGGATAAAAAATGATGGTTGAGATGGCTGTCAAGGTGATTACGATCATAGAAAGATATATTCAGAGGAACTTCTTTCTGTGGTACTGGAGGAGGAGCTGGCTGGCAGGAGTAATGAAGAGTACCTGAAATAACCAGAAGCTTAGTTGATCAACTTCCCAACTTGAATAATATTCTGCTATGTTTTGAAGAAACAGATAAACGAGGGAAAAAAAAAAAAAAAAACTTACAGTTCGGAATCACACATGGGAGAAACTTAATAGAATCATCAGTGTTGTTGTCATCACTAGTTCTCTTCCAACCAGGATCACACTCACAGATGAAGCTCAAAGGGTAGCTTATGTTTGCTTTGCATGTTCCCTTTCCACACTCAACTTCATCACACAACCTGTCTGTTTTTCAACAAAGAAAACTATACAAGTTAGATTAGAAGCTATATTTTTCATTGAAAACTCCATTTTTATCTGTACAAGATTGACAAGAAATGGAGGTGGGGAAGGTACGATAGAAAGGAGCCAGGGCAGGTGATAAGTCAAGATCTCCTTTAGCGGCTATCGGCAACAAGACCAGGAGCAAGGCTGGAAAAACTAGAATTTTGTAGGATGCCATTGTCTCCAACAGAGAATGAGATAGTGAAATTCAACTGGAGAACCTGAAGCTAGTTTTTGTTAAAAGGGTAGTTATATAAGTAAACAAAGATTGAAAATTTCTTTGCCACCACCAACCTAATAGAAAAAAAAGAGACTTGAAATGGTGATATTACTAAAAAAAATTTTCATATAGTAAAATCAAAGCAAATCTTCTTTTTTAAACAGTAGAAGCTTCTGCAGGTTGAAGATCAGTTCAAATTATAGACATAAAATACTACCGTTTTCTTCTGTTTGAAATACTAATTCCTTTCTTTTAATCAATCTTAGCTTTGAATAGGTCTCTCAATTTCATTTTTTTGGGTTTTATTTTTTATATATAATAAATGTGATGTCATGATCTATATTGTCCAACCATATTATTTCTTTGTAATTCCATTTTACTAATTTTTTTTTTTTTTTTTAAGAATGAGATTGCAATTCGAAGATAAAGTAAAAATTATAAATATTAAGATTTGAATTTCAATTCTATTGGATGTCATTTCTTTAAAGGTACTGTATAAACCAATTAAGTTAAGTTTCAACTTTAGAAAAATGGATTAGTTTTTTTCTCTCCATTTCCTTTTGGGGTTATAAGCTTTTGATCATTAAGAAGTTTGTTTTTCAATATAGTTTAGAAGATTTCTATTTAGAGAAAGGGACAGAGTCTGAATAATCAGAAAAACCCAGGTTTTAACACAAACAAATTTTCAAAGCTGAGGTTTTATTCTAGAAGTGCTCTGCCTAGTTAATCCTTTTTAAGCTTAGAAAGTCAAAATTTAATCAAGGTGTGCCTTATAACAACAACAATTACAATACAAATGTCATAATTAAATATTAAAATATGGAGGGTTGGTTTTCTACAAGTCTAGAGGAATAAGTCACCAGAGATAAAAATAAATAAATAAATAAACAAGCTTGGATCGATTTAAGGGAAAATGTGTTGGATAAAGTTTCGAAACCTTGTTTAAAAAAAATAATCCAGGTTTATCTTGAGTGATCAAGGGTGTTAGGACATAAAATATAGATTAATCTTACATTCAAGTTGTAATACTTTCTTTTCTAATTAAAAAATGTTAGATTGAAATTTGGACCCTACACTAAATAAACAATTTTTTAACAAAGAAAAAAAAATCAAAATCTCATTCATCATGTGCTGACTGTATATATAGTTTGTCAATATGCTTGTCATGCTTACTTTTACAAGTTCTATTTCATGTATTTGGCATTTGTAAGGTAATTTTACATAACTTTCTTGTGGAAATATTTATTTTCATTAATAAGCATGAGATCAAACCCAAATAGAAAACGAATACTTGTTTCTTTAATCAACAAAGCTTAAATAATAAGCCTTTCCTCCATTTCCATGCACTTCCAATATTTAATCAGCTTTGTTTTGGCTATTCCTGTTCATTCTTAATAAGATTAGGTGAAGTCTTGTAAATTTAAGTCTAAAAGTCGCCAACCAAAGTTGGCAGAAGTGATAAGGGATAAATATTGGGTACTAACTCACTTAGGACAAAATCTCCTCACGATTTCTTGTTGATAAACGATTTATAAGTTTGAAAATTTCAAATAATCTTCTTTGTTTCTAAATTTTTTCCTGACAAAAATATATATATATATATATATAAAAGAATCTAGAGTTTTGTTTTGTTTTGGTACACAATCAAAAGTTTAGAGTACTATATGTATATAGGGATAAACATAATTAAATTGCCCTTCTTTGAGAAGATGTGAATGTATCATATATCTATTTTATAAAAAGAATTGAATGAGTTTGATTAGTAGTTTCTTCCAATATTAATATAATGTAAAAATTGAACACGAAATGTAATTCAATTAATTTATATAATTACTTTAAAAAAATAATATCTAAAACTTAAATTTCAATACCTGTAATTTTTTTTAATTTTTAATTTATAACTTTTTTTATTAAAAAAATACAATGTAAAAATTGCTAACATTTATTTAATATATTGATTTGAAAGAATTAAAAGTGGGGTAGAAATGTTCTAAAAAAATGTGTGGTAGAAATGGCATTGCCAAAATCTTCTTTTAAATATATTTGTTTGAAAATACATCTTGAAGTCACATTATGCAACCGCAAGGTTTTTTTTTTTTTTTTTTTTTAATAAAAAATAAGTTAAGTAATTGCCCAGAAGAGGTCGTTCGCATGAGCAAGATTTTGTATACAGATAAATTAGGGGAGAATACAGCATTAGAAGAATAACTTAAATTCTCAGTCAAAGCAATTAGCATAATTTTAAGTTTAAGTTATTTTTTATTCAATTTTATATATTTTTTTTGTGTAAAATAAATTATAATATGTAATTTTTATGTAAAATATAATTTAAATATATGAATTTTAATATTTTACATAACATAAATATATGAATCTATTGATTTAGTTGCAAGCCATAAGATCCACCAATTGATTGTTGCAAGCCTGCAATTTTCTTTTGTTTTTTGTTTTTTCTTCTTAGGTTTTTTTCTTTGATTTCACTTTTCCTTAATTTTCTCTCTTATTACACCATTCTTTGAAAACCTCAAAATTGGATGGAAACTTTGTAACTTTGCATTCTGCAGAACAACTTTCCAAACACAGTAAAGCAACAGAATTTTCTGGATGTTTGAAAAAGCTGATTCTAAACAAATAAAATCAAAATAAGAAAAAAAATATATCACTAAAAAAATACAACAAAGATTTAAGAAAGGCTTACCCCAACAAGAAAAATATAGGAATATCGAGAAGGTTTAACTCTTCCACTTTTTTTTTCTAGCTTCAATGCCATTGCATTAGTTACTTTCCAATGCTGCTTTCTAAATTCTTCCTTAACTTTATTATAATCAGAACCAACAAGTTCAAGTACTTGTTTTTTTAAAATCCTCATGCACAGATTGTTACATTTGCAATAAAGTTTTTGAATCAACTTCTAAAGTTGACTTTTCATGAGTCTCACCTAAAGTATTTAGCATTGGGAGGTTTGATAAGCTTTTTCCTTCTTCATATGTTCTTCAAAATCAGACCCTTATATAGTTATTAAAATTTCAGGAAGGACCTTCCCTAAATCATTATACATTTTGTCAACAATATCCGGTTTAATTGTATCAAGAAATATGCTAACAAAATTTACCAAATTATCTTCAGCCATATTTCCTACAAACGTAAAAGGAAAATGATCAAAAAAGTATCCGTCTTTGTAAACAAGTTTTGAACATTTAATGATGGACAGGACAAGATAAAATCGTGTTCCTGGTATATGCTTTAAGGGCAAGAGAGGATGAAACATAAGATGATTCATACTCATAGATACGATGATTCAATTCGACTAAGAAGAAAAGGAAGATTTGAACTTGTTGGTTCTAATTATAATAAAGTTAGGAAATCGTTTAGACAACGTCATTGGGAGAAAGCTCATGCAATGGCGTTGAAGCAGAAAAAAATACAATGGTTTAACTTTCGTAATATTCTTATATTTTTCTTGTCAGGGTAATTTTTTTAATTTTTTTATGGTTTTTTCTTATTTTTGATTGTATTTGTTCAGAATCAGCTACTTCAAACGACAAGATTATTCTGCCGCTTTGCTTTGTTTTGAAAGTTATTATGCAGAATGTTAAGTTATAAAGCTTCTATTCAACTTTGAGATTTTAAAAAATGGTGTAATAAGAAAGAAAATAAATCAAAAGAAAAATCAGAGAAAAAAATCAAGAAAAAGCAAAGTCAAAACAAATCTGCTAGCTTGCAGTAACCAGTTGATGAATATGCTCAAAGAAAGGAAGATTTAGATCAAAACAGTTTCAGAAAATATTAAGCTATCTGCATCAATTGCTGAATATGAAGATGATACACAAATTTAAGGTATAGAGAATCAGTTTGTTTTATAACAATGAAGTTTATCAAATTATGTCCGAGACATGTTTTTCTTTATGATGTTTGTATGTTTGTTGATGCCCTTCATTGTTTTTTGAACGATTATTATGAAGATGTATGTATAATTCAATGTAATGATGAAGTGAGTGCAATAAAGTTTCCAGAAGAAAGCTTTCCAATTTTAAAAGCTTTGAATATTGAAAAGGTCTGTGCTGATAAATGTTGTGCCTATAATTTGGTTGTACAGATATGTGAACCATTTGCTGTTTGGTTGAAAAGAGAGCATCTTATCTTTGAAAAAAAGATAATTCAACTCCTGAAGCCTCTTGGTGATCGTTTATCAAGCTTTCTGTAAAAAAATTTTGGTAATAAATTGTTAAAAGGATTTAAATTTTGTTATTCATGACTTGTTTGTTGATTTTTTATTGTTTCTTATTATAGGGATGTTATCCGGGCATTATGTGTCTTCAATAAGAAAGAGTTGTTTGACTATATTCTTGATAGTGGAATGAGGATTTTTGTTACTCCCGATGGCCATGGAAAACTCAATCCTTCGTTTGATGCCCTTAAACTGGACAATGGTGACATAATGTATAGTGCTTTAGGGAAGATCTTTCCTGAAATTGCGACTGCATATAAAGGTCTGATTCTGAAGAATATATAGAGAAGAAGGCAATAGCTAGCTGATCAAACCTGTCAATGCTGTAGAATTTTGTTAGCAAACTTCATGATGCATTTAAACCGGA